ATCCAGAAGTTGGGAACCTAACGTTAGATGTTAGCCTCTAGGCGGAGGGATAGTGAGAACTCTAAAGTGAGAGCTAGTATCTTCTAGCCGAACCAAGGATTTAAGAACTTGACTCTGGATTAGTCAGTGCTTTTTATGCACATATAAGAGGGTAACAAATAGGTATGGTCCTATTTGTCACTGACAACATTATCTTTTAGGCATTTCATTCCTAAACATTATATAGGTCATTGCACGAGAAGGGTAGTCCTTATCCTTATCATCTCAAAATTCTCCAAAAAAAATTATTCAAATAAGTTATCTTTAGATTTATGATTTTCATTTAGAAATAGTTATTAGAAAAACCAATTTAATTGACATTCCAAACTAATACCTGATAGTAGTATACTGGAATTAGCCTAAGTGACTTCTTACCTCGCTTTTTTTTTTTGGATCGATAATGGGGTTTTTAAAGTTCTATATTACTTGAAATGATATGTATACTTGTTTAGTACCCCTAGTGTGTAAACTATTAATAAAAAAATCTAAAAAGCATGTTGATTTTGTACACTAGTCGCTAAATATAAATAGGGTCAAGTTTTTTGACATCTTTTGGAAGTTAAATTACTGCATAATTGTGGGTTGGGTCAAAGGTCTTTAACCCTGTTTATGTGACTGACATACGAATTTGTCTGGAATGACATCTAAAAAGTTGAATTTTAATTTGTCATATTTGAATTTTGTAAACATTAAACAAACAAAATACAAAGTTTTATTTAAAAGTACATTCTCTTAGAGTATTTTTCAAAAGTCAGGCATTCATGAATCAATCACACTGACGGGTTAAAACTACCGATCACCCATGAGTACGAGGGGTAACTCTTCACTAAATGTTAGGGGGTAGTAATGTTAATTCATGACCCACTCACGAGTTTTTGACATACATTACTCCTCACATACCGAGATAATGTTCTCTTCATCGCTCTTACCAACAATACCTTCAACATGCACTAGCTCAATGCTCCATATATGGCTTTTAAAATGTCCCTAATTACTGTAAGGGTTTGAGTGTAAGGTTCAATCTCAAATCCCTAAGCATTGGGTTTCATTGTAGCTTAAGTTGTAATGGGAATTTTTATTGATGATTTAATTAATTGGAAGGGTGCTAAATCACATCATGGTGTATCTCAATGTTTTGTGGATGATTTTCTTCAATAAATGGGAATAAGTTTACATGTACTCTAAAATTTCCAAAATTTTGCAAGGGTATCCGAAGAGTGACTCCAGACAACCTTGGAATCTCTTAGATTATCCCAAGTTCATTGGGCCTTATCATATAGTTTGATTAATCACTCAATGTCAGGTTAAAGTTGTATTGTTGTGTTTGAAGTAATGCTCAACATCGTAACTAATTCATGAACTAAGGTCAAGTGATTAACTTCAACATCCAATTGAGTTAAGTGAGTGAACCCCCGTCTGGGGCATGCTTATAACACTTGAGGGATTCACATTCAGAATTGAGCTTGTAGTGTTCTAAAATGTTTCATTAACAATTATGTGTTTTGAGCTAAACCCCAAATTCATTTTTTGGTCAAGCCTAATTTACTAACAAGCTCTTAAGGGGTTTAAGGGTAAATTTGTAATCAAAAGTTCATGACATGTGTTTATCTTTATTGAAATATTGAATTTGGTTCACCCATTAATTTAGGGGTTCAAATCAATGGTTACTTTATCTCTAAATTCATCTCCTTTACCCTTGCATCTTTCAAATCTTATTTCTTCCAAATCTCAACAATTTAGACAATCACAATTTTAACCTTTTGGAACAATAGTGGTGAGTGAGTTGCTATCTTATTGCCCTTTGTATTTCAATCACCCCAACAAGTTAATTTTCATCATTTAAGTCCCTCCCCTCTGAGTTAAGTGCAAAATCCCCAAAGTAACAAACCTACTCCTGGGATTTAAACACTAGTACTCTCAAATTATAAGTGCAATGGTCATGCAATTTCACTGACCTCCGATTCGTGGATTAATTAAGTTAATAGAAAATAAATTAAATTTTAAAGATTTCATTTTATTTTTATTAATTATTTGTACTCAAAATAGTGAATTTAACTTATTAACAAATTTAACAACTCAAATTAGGTTCTCTATCCTTCAGAAGTTATCAGAGGACTAACCAGGGTAAATTTTGTGGTTTTTTAAAATATAATTTAATTTTTATAACTTTTTTAAGGGATCATTGAAAGAAATTTAAATAGAATACAGTTACACTTTAAATCAAAAATATATTTTTCCCTGGTTCCCTTAACCACAGAGAACTCACCAAACATGATTTTGTGTTTTTGTATTTATATTTTATTTTTACTAATTATTTTACTAAAACACTGGCATTTCATTTAAAAATAGGGATTTTATGGTTAGGTGTGTTTTCTGACTTTAGAAAATTTGGAGGACACTCTTAACAACAAGACTAACAAATCGTCAAATTTCAAGTTATGGTGATACATTTAATTTTCTATAATTAAAATAAGGTTTTGGATAAATAATTAATTTAAATAAAGTATTAAATGACTTATTTTAATTTTTGCATTAGTAATTTGTTCTTTGTTCACTGAGCATTAGAATATTTTTATTTGTTTTTTTTTTGATTTTTTTACACCAAGATATGAGTTTTCAATGTTTAAATCAATTTCTAGAATTAATTAAACCAAAAAATGCCAATTTTTTTTAACTTAACCATGTGGTGCTGACTCATCCTAGGCAAATCTGAAGGACGACGCGAACAAAACCATTGGGAAACTTCAAAAATTGAAATAACACCGGTATACAACCAAAATAATATGTGAATAACACTAGCAATAAGACCGCGACGTCACAAGGCAAATGACATCGGGGAACAGTGTCAATACTACCTAAATACTACCGCAACTCATGAATAACACGAGAATAAATAGAAACATCGGAATAGTGTTTCTACTACTCGGATACTAACAAAATAACATGTGAATAACACGGGTACTGTTCATCATTCTCAAATTCATATAAGTGGTAAACCGTTCAATTTAAAACATCAAGATCTTGCTCAATACTTAATGAAATTAGAAACGGTTTGATCCTACACCGTCATCTAAGCATGTAAAAGATATTCATATGTTCTTTTCCCAAATGTCCAAAACTGGGCAAAAATGACATTTTATTTATTCATAGCTTAATCCAGAAGGTGTAGCCTCGATTGGATGGTTTAAGAAGCTTTGTTGGAGTCCCACAAACTTGCTCCAAGCATTGAATTAATCCACGAACGTGTCCAAGTACGAGCTTGATCAAATGGGTGGTTGGCCTTTGTCTATAGCTATGGTGGAGGGCTCGAGATAAGTGAGGGTTGGTGTATAATGATATTTTAGGGTCTTGGGAAGCTTGTAGAGTGATTGGTTTGATGTTTTGGTGAAGTCAAATTTTCAGGCCGAAAATTAGGTCTTGCTTTAAGGTTGAGATTTGGGGCTTGGCGAGTGGGGAAAGGGGGTTAGGAAGCTTAGGATGAGGTTATGGAAGGTTGCAAAGAGGTCAGAGGAAAATTCGGCAGGACTTCACCTTAGCTCTCTTGGTGTTGCCTTTTTCTTGAACGTGAACGATGGCCTCTTATAGGCTCGGCCAAGGGGAGTATGCAAAGGAAAAATTGCCAAGTAAAATCTTCAAGAAAACAATGATGAAATGGCCTTTCAAATAATTCATGAAGGAAATTTCAAAGAAGGTATTTTCACAAAAACAAGAATTCTCATTTTTCCCGAACGAATGATTAATTTGAGAGCCTTGGGTACAAAAGATCTCGAGCAGACGGTGATGGACAAAGTTAACAAGTCCTTTGCCGTGCTTGAGTGAGCCAAATTATGAGAGGAGAAGCCATGGTTTTGTCTGTCTAGGTGTTACTCGGGTTGTGTTCTGGTTGTATTCTAGTATTATTGAAGACTAAAACATCGCAATGGCTTTTCATGTGGTGTTATCTGAGGTATTTGGGTTTATGGAAGTGTTTAAAAATGTTTGGGAGGCTTTGGAAGTAATTTGAAATTATTTGGGTAATTAGCTTTGGAAGATTGGTGTTATGGAGGAGTTACTTGGGTGTTATTGGGAGTTTGGAGGTTATGAAAATGTTTAGAAATTTTTTTGAAGGGTTTAGGAAATATTTTGAAAAGAAAACTTGTCGTTCATATGTCTTTGTTATTGGTCATTCGATTCTTTCGAGATTCGTGCTGACATATTTGTTATACAGAGTTAAAATCTTATTATCACATAGTAAAAAAAATTGCGGCTAAAAGAGTACCAGAGGGGGAATAGTGAAAACATGAAAATGAAAATCCACTCTAAATTGGAGGAGTGTTAATAAATTTATTAGGGCCATAATTACTAGGAAAAGTGGAGGATTTTGCTCTCTCAAAGCTCCCATTTCTCTTTGTTAGGATTTGGGTTTGAGCACTACAAAAATAACTATTAATGAGCTATACATATAAAAAGTGCAATGTAGAGTATAAGGTGTGTCTAGCATAAATAAGGATTTTGAGCTGTCAAACTCAGAGGAGATGCTGTTACTTTAGGGCTTAGAGATAGTGAAAGTCAAGTCAATTCGACGACTAGATTGGTACTTTTTGGCCGAGCTCTTCCTCAGTTACGTTGATGAATCCCAACAATAGGCAAGCGAGCCAGTCTTAATTTTCCTGGGGGAGTGTCTTGAACTAAACATGCATTTGTCTTTTCTTGCCTTTCGTAGGGCAACTCCGTCATTTGGGTGTGCATTAATTATGTTTTCATTATAATTTTCTTAATAGTTATGTAAACAAAATTATATTTTCTTAGTTGGGTACAAATTTTATTATAATTTCCATATAATTTTTAATAGTAACGTCCTGAGAACAGCCTAAGATCTATCGTTTAGTGGATTTGCTTTCGTGTTTGAAAAGGCTTCAAGTTATCTTGAACATGATAAAGAGAAAAAATGAAACAATTTGTTTTATTAGATAGAGATTAATTTCGAGCTATATATACAGAAGCTGCAGGCAACACATATTTGTTGAAGAAAAAAGGTTTTCCACACTGCTGGTGAGACGAGAGATGGGATATCTAGAACTCATCGTTGGAGCTCTAACCGTGGCCTTGACCACATGGATATGGAGCTTTCTGGTTTCGTTTGCTTGGAGGCCATATTTGAAAGCAAAAAGGTTGAGGGAACAAGGCGTTGGGGGTCCCAAAGGCAGCTTCTGGTCTGGATGTGCAGACGAGATCAATCATATGAAGGCTGCTTGCGGAGATATGGTCTTCGACATCAACTCACATGATTATCTTAACAAAATTTTCCCTCACTATATCAAGTGGAGTTCTCAGTATGGTCAGCTCCCAAAAACCTTTTTCTTACTTTCTTCATTCCATATTTTCTTTGAAAATATATGAATAGAACTGGACGGATATAATTGGGTAATATGAACCATCAGACAACCTGTAATTTGCTTATGGAAGAAGTTCTTCTTTCTTGTTATTTTGATATTTTGTTTTCGGGTCCACAATTTCGATTATCAAAATTTTGCTTTGCATGATGAACACTCGTATCTAACAAGATAATAAGATTGTTATACTGTTCGTGGTCCGATTTTGGTTGGCTTGCAATTTAAAAGGAAATTTCGTGTTTTTTTTATATAGCAACAGTCATTAATATCAATTTATTGAACCTTTGTTAGAAGAAAAATCCAAGAAAGAAAAACTTGATGAAGAGGGCTAAGGTTGTTTTTGCTTCAAATATGATTTAAGGTACGATTTAGTAACTTGTAAATTAGAATTAAAATCTAATGATAATCTAGCATGACAACGTTAAACTTTATTATATTCTGACGAAGTATTTTTCTTTCGTGTGAAATTGGGATTAAATTTTGATGTAATTATTAATGATTCAAAACTTTAATTTATCAATATAATAGAATTTAAAATATTACATGTTATTTGGTATAAATTGAATTAAATTTCACTTAAATCGTGTCTAAAATAAGACCGCGAACATCTCTGTCTCTGTTATGTATTTGATTCGAGACAACAATGAACAGTAACCATTTTATGAAATAAATCTCTTGCATTTTTGGGGCAGCTATTGCTTTTGAAGCGAACGTGAAGCATAAGCAGAAATAATCATAAAAGAACTTTCGTAAATTCCATCCAATTCTAATGTATATACAAATCTAACACCAAATCTTTAGTTTTTATATTTTTATTTTTGTACCGCTGAAATCTTTTTCATATCACATAAAAAAAAACACTATTTTAACTAAGACAAGAAGTGAAATACACCTGTTCATATATATTCAAGGTGAGGAATGTAAAAATCAAAGTTTAGTGATTAAGACATAAATACATAAGAACTGTAAATCTTCCTAATATTATATTATAAGATATCAGTAGACCGCCGTGTACTCAAAAAATTCACATAAAATAGTATTAAGAATTTAACTTTTCTACTAAGTTGCAAAAGAGACAAAAGTTCTTGCTAGCTAGAATAAGGATTTTGCAGCTATTCTTTGTCCTCTCTCCAGTTAAAGCAACAAGCTAACATGGATAATTTTTTCTTCCGTTGAACCAAAAAAACTCCTTCTGTCAAGCACTCGGACGTATCAAACAACTAAAGAAATGTTCAAAGGTCGCCCAATTATTTAATTAATTGACATAAATCGTTAGCTTGTATTGGCCGGCTCAACAAGTAGCTCATTGGAGATTTAAAGCTGAAATTAATTTCCTCTAACTCGTAATTCTTTCTATCATTTTTTAATTGTTTAAATTGACTCCTGTTCAATTATTTATTATTTGTGCCCATCCTGAAAAACATCTACCAGATATGTTCTGGTCGTAACCTGGAATGGTTTAATTGATTGGCACAGGAGGAACATTCATTTATTCCATAGGAGAGAAAACAAGGCTTTTCATCTCAGATCCAGAGCTTATAAAAGAAGTACTATCCAATAAGTTTGGTTTCTACATGAAGCTTGACCCAGGTGCCGGCATCACGGCTCTACTAGGAAAAGGATTAGTTCTAACTGATGGTGAGCAGTGGACAAGACACAAGAGAGTTGTCAACCCGGCTTTCACAATGGAAAGAATTAAGGTAACAAAATTATAATTTTTTTTTAAGGCATGGATATTCATAAACGCATCAATATGGTATGAACTCCCAACCAATAGGTTAATTGGTTAAGATGACCTGCATTAATTTTCCTTTTTCCTTACAATTGTCAGTTTTCATTTCGATAAAAAAACAAAAGAAACGACAAACCCGGGGAGTCAATTTATTTTAAAAGTATTTCGGCTAGGCTTATGCATGTATGAATTCCCCTTCGTTTGAGTCAACTTTATGGCTTCAAAGCAATTAAATATTGAGTCTTTTCATTGAAGAGAAAACAACATGATATTTCTTCATTTAAATGAGTCTTTTCTTCCGAAATATCATGTTGTTTTCATATCTTAAAATGAATTTATGTGCCAAAATAATGTATAGGGTACATATTAATGAATTCTAAAAATTATTTTTTTTTGCGATTTTTTTGTTTTCTAATATTAAAAAAGATGTTGATTTTGCACTTTAATGACCATCGCCATGTATGTAGACGCTGTTTGCCATTTGTTTTCATTTTGAATAAAAAACCTTAATGAATCATAAATATCTATAATTCACTACCTTTCTGCGGTTCTGAAGTTTAAATTTTGGGAATTCTTGTTTTTTTTTTTTTTTGGAAAATTACGAACACTTCTTAATAGTTATTCTCTGTGGATCATGATCTCATTTAGTTGGATGACCAAAAAATATATAAATTATGTTTTCTATGACCAAAAAGTAAATAAATAAAAAAGATTTATCATTCAGTATAAAATTATTAAAATATTATTTGCAATTCAAAAATAAATAGAAAAGTTGTTGGTATGTTCTCTATGACCAAAAAGTGATCATATTGGGCCAATAAAGTACCAACAGGATTATTGAACTTCTTAGTCCAACCACTTCAACCAAGATCGATGAGTACCTAAGTTTAAATAGCCGAGTGCTTGTACTCAATTAAAAGATATTAATCAACAAGCATCGTGGAAGCACAAATCATCTGATAGGCATCCTTCGACGAGCTAAGCCAAGGAATGTGTGGTTAAACATCAACACCCAAGGTCACTTTGTCATTTTTTATTGCCTCATTGGAGAAAGAGCCGACTCGCTCCAAAGGACAACTGTTCTAGGAGCAAATTCTCAGAAGGAGGCTAGATAAGTTGAGATATGCGACCTGATGATATGCACAGAGAAAAGATGGAGAAGTGCATCATCGAAAGAGGATAAAGTACGAAATAAAATCATTCTTTTGAAATGACCATAATATTATAATATCCTTTCATTTTCTTCTCTTTAACCAATTTTTTTCTTTCTTTAGTAGCTCTTCTATTAAGGTGTGAATCCACAAAGAAATTTTGATTCAATATTATTAAAAGGTTTGGTAAGTGTGGATCATATCATAAACAAGAAGAGGGGTCACACTAGAACAAAAGTCAAACCATAAAAAAATGACCAATATGGATTGCACCGGGGAGTTTTTCACCTAGCAACTTAATGAGCTAAAAGAACAACATATGATGAAGATTAAAAAAAATTTAGTGTAAACAAAAGAAGAGTAGGAAATTCCACCTCAAAAACATCTAAGAAGCTTTTTCACCTATTCCAATGGACAAGGATACCCCATACTATCTTGAAATAGCTTTCTCAACCACATGTGAGTACAAAAGGAGGGTCAAAATTCCTTGATTTATTAGTTAAAGAGTTTATTTTCTAAGGAGATTACTGAAGATGAAGCACTGAAGTGCCTCAAGATTCCATATTTGCAATTTTTTCGAGATTATTCAAATCTTATTGATCGCATCATCTTCTTTGAGTTTACCATTTATCTGCTAAGACTAAACAACACCAGAAAATCACATAATTTTTATGAACCTAAAAGAGACAGCATTTTGGTGGTTTAAAAGCCTTGATTTCTTTTTAAGCAAATTTTATACATATTTTTGTACCATAAATGGCCAATTCTAATGACAACTTAAGAGTTCGGAAGA